ACACTGGTTTTTTTTGTTGAGTGAATTAAATAATATTTATTCTAAATATAAATTCATTAATTAATTAACTAAAAAAATAATTCTTTTAATGTAAAGTAGATTATTTAGCTTAATAATATATCATTGAATATCTCCATTTCAATATAAATATTTTTGTTAATATTATAATTTAATATAAATATATCTAATATAAATAAAATAGTGGCTAAATTGAAATGGATAAAGATATAGATAAATGGAGTAAGGAATAGGAAAAAGAACTAATGGCATGAATTATTTAATGGGAGAGTTGATGCCATAATTAATGAGAAGAGATAATTAAATTAGTTAAAGAGAAAGAGGAGATGGAGTTAATGGTGATTTAATGAAGGCAGATAAAAGTCTTAAAGCTTATTAGCCACATGAGTTATTTTGTACAATTTTAAATGTGAAAAATTCCAAAAATAAAAATACAAGTTATTGATATTAAAAAACACGAATAGGGTAATCAGTTATTGATATTAAATGAGTTGAAAATAGGTAGTTTGAAGATATTCAATGCATCCAATTCCCTCTCATTAAACCAACATTTAAGATATTAATTTGCATTTACCTTCATTTAATAATATATTTAAGGCATTTTTTTGTTTATTCTCATCATTAAATTCTATTAATTAAATCCATGCATAATAAACTAATAATTCTAATAACATAAAAGCTTATAATTTTAAAATCTACTTCAAAAAAGTGTTTCCATCTAGTTGGTGTAAAAGAAATTAAACCACTTTGGGTCAAATGGACCAATCCATGTTGCCACAATTAAATAATAAAATTTAAAAATAGATAAAATACAAAAAATGTAGAAATTAAAAAATTGGGAACATTTTTAACATCATATATTCGACATATTAAACACTAATAAGTATGATAAATAAGAAATTTTTTATTAATTATGGAAATGGAATATAGCATTCAAAACCAATTGAAAATAAAACTATTTTCCTATTTTCTCTCATTAAATCTCATATATGAGATATATTCTCTCATTAAATCCTATATTTAGGATACATATTTCTCATCATTAAATTCTAATGTTTTCCTATTCTCTCATCAAGTGGGCTAAAAAATAAAGACATAATTAAATAATAAAAATTAGAATATATAAAATATATAATACAAAAAAAAAGAATTGGGCATATCTCTAATATTGTATATTCATTATAATAAACAAAAATAAGTATAAAATTTAAGAAGTAATTTTATTAATGATGAAAATAGAATTCCAAATTTAAAATCAACAAAGAAATGAAATGATGATATAGTCAAATAATAAAATTTAAAAAAATAGAAAAATACAAAGAGACAAAAATAAAATAAAAAAATAGATAAAATTTTGGGCATATATTTAATGTTACATATTTATAAAAAAAATAAAATATCGGGTACATCTCTAATATTATACATTCATTATATTGAACAAATAAGCATTACACATAAGAAAATAATTTTATGTAATACAAAGTTTAATGCCAACCTAGAAATCAAACTATTTTCCCTTTGGGTGGTGGGTTAGTGGTTTGGATCAAATGGATTAATCAATGATATGATAGTTAAACAATAAATCTTTAGAAAAATAAAAAAGTATAAGTAATCAAAATAATATATAAAAATTATATAATAATAATAATAATAATAATAATAATAATAATAATTGTAATTGTAATAATAGTAATAATAATTGTTATCGTAATTTAAGATTTCCATGTGAAATGCATAAGCACGTTTACTACAATAATTTAAGTTTATTTTTAATCATATTGTTGCTTTTGTTAATCTTCAATTTTTATCTTAACTATGATGTATTTAAAATTCAAGTAATTAGTATGAAGAAAAACTTCTCATGAGCAATGTACGTGCTTAATTACTAGTAACCAAAAGAAAATGATAGATGATTCTCAAATATCCAGAAAGAAGTGCCAGCTTGGCATATTCCATTTTAATATACAGATATAGATGAAGTGGCATGGTGGAAAGATTCTCCCTTTTTTTTTGGAGGTATAAAAGGAGAAACGTGAAAATCCTAAGAAGACTCTTGATTTATAGATTTATGAAAAGGGTAAATTGTTGAAACCTCCCTTGAAGTTTGCTAACTATAATTATAATGACCCCCTTTAACTTTTTGACACAGTTGCAAATATATATAGATCCCTACTATTAGAATCCTCTAACAAAAGGTACAACCATGTTCTTATTTTTCAAATTTTTATCTTCACATCAATCACTGCCCCAAGTCTCTCCAAACTCTTTTTTAGAACACATTTATTTTCCAAATTTTCTCTTTATATCAATAGCACAAAGGTAAAATTATAACTTTAAATTATCTTTTTTTATTGTTTATAAAGTTCGTATTGTTTTTTTTTGGGGGGGGGGGGTAAATTGCTGAAACCTCCACTGAAGTTTCTAACCATTGCTGAAACCTCCCTTGAAGTTTAAAAAATGCAAGTAGAGCCCCTATGCTAGCAAGAGGCATGAAAATGTCCAAAATACCCATGCAATTACTACTAAGACTGGTTTATACAAAAAAACAATAACAATAAAAAAGAAAAAGCAAATTTAAAGTTGTAGTTTTACCTTTATATATATATATATATATATATATATCAAAAACCCTAGGAAGTTAATGAATTTGGATTTACTTTAACCTTCACTGTTTAGAATATATCCATTGCGAGTTGACCCACTTAACTAAAAACTGACATATTTATGACAAAAAGGCAGAGAAGCTTGCCTTGTCAATCAAAGGTGAAACTTTGATTGAATGGTTTATGATGGTGCGCATTCTGTATCTCCCTACTAAAGGACAAATCAAATGCTGGGCTGGTGAGGTCACCTGGTCGAGTTGTAAGAGAACATTATCAGAGTACCAGACTGCTTTACTTGGGATGGGTACTCCAGTGCTTAAGTCAGCGATGAGTTTTTAAAATGCTAGAATGCTAGAAAGTGAGAGAGCTAGAGAGCTGTGAGTGCTAAATTGTGCATACCTTTTCTAAGGAATAAGATACCTTTATATAAGCGCAGGTTGTTGTGGGCCTCACGTAGCGCATCCGAGATTACCGACTCACCTCATTCGAAGGTGGTTTTATGCCCGGAGACGAACTCCGCGTAAAGCGATAACACTTACTCGGTTGTTTCCAAAGCGGGCGAGACAGGAGTCAATTCCATCGACGTGGTGACGTGATCCCAAACAAATCAGAGACAATAACCCACTCGTTAAGGAGCAGGCGAGACAGGAGTCAGTTCAATTTTTTGCCTATAATTTTTGTTGTCAGAACAAACCATCCATTCGAACCGGATGATCGAACTGTCAACCCAAAAATAGGTGGATAGAATGGTTCCGTAATTTTTTACTTGTAATTTTTGTTGTCAGAATGGGCCATCCGTTCGAACTGGACGGTCGAACCGTCAATTGTCATAACGTTATTAACAATATTTATCAATAATAGTAAGTAATTATACTATTTAATTAAATAATCACTAATGATATTTTTAATAATATTATTTAGTTATTTTTAATATAACAGTAAATATTAAATTTATGAATAGGATTTATTAACAATATTCATTAAATTAATAATTACCAAAATTAAATTAAATTAATAGTATTTATCAACAATAGTCAGTAATTATAATATTTTATTAAATAATCAATAACAATACTTTTAATAACATTTTTAATTATTTTTAATATAACAATAATTACTAAATTTATTAACAGTATTTATTAGTAACAATATTTATAATTATAATTTAAAGTAAAATTAAAGTAAATATCTATTTATTAACAATATTTATAATTAAAATTAAAATTAAAATTAAAGTAACAATATTTATAATTATAATTTAAAGTAAAATTAAAGTAAATATCTATTTATTAACAATATTTATAATAACAGTAATTATTAGTTATAATCACTAATTATGTATTTATTAAATTACAGTAATAATCAGTAATTTATTTACAATATTTTTTAATAACAGTATTTATAATTTTAAAATAAATATCTAATTATTAACAATATTTATAGTAACAGTAATTATTAATTATAATCACTAATTATATATTTATTAAATGACTATAATAATCAGTAATTATTAAATTACAGTAATTAATTACTGTAATAATTAGTAGATTCTGTTAATTACTGTAATTACTGGAATGGTTAGTAGATTCCATTAATTACTGTAATTATTGGGCCGTGAGCATCCATATATGTATGTACATATGTATATATGATTGAATGTTTATTTTACTAAAACAATAGGATATTGATTTCATTTAACTTCCATTTATGTTGCCAACAGCACATCCTGGGAATCTCCCGATGATATCTTATCATCTTTCATAGTTGTTATTGGGAGATGTTCCCAATACAAGGTTGAGATGTGTTGTGGGGCATTGTGGGATGCCCCCATTTGGGGTGCAGATGTGAATTCAACCGGATTTTCTTCCTACACTTACCTATATCACATCATAGCCATACATGGGAACATCTCACGCTCTTATCCAATGCACGGATGCAATGTTGTCAACCCGCCATTGATCTGGCCAGTCGAATCATTCGAACCATCACCTAACCAAGATTTTGGGTCCGTTTTAGTCAAGACCTATCAGACGGTTAAAAACCATTGACTTGGTCAAGAACCGTTCGACCCAGCCAATTCTACCGTGACCTGTTCAACCCGGTGACCAGGTCGTAGGTTGCACATTCAATGCATACAAAACTTTTGGAGACCATTCAATGCATCCCAAGGAGCCATAGGCACCTTGCCACGCTATTTTTGCAAAAGAAAAACCTTTTTTTGGCCTCAAACTACAATTTTTAATATTTTAATAAATAAAAAAATTAAAAACTGATTTAAGAAACATATATTAAATATAAAGTAATACATATAACATATCTAAAATATATTTATACATTATTTATTACTAATATATATATATATATATGACGTTGCACGGTCTGAACCATTTGACCCGGCCGGTCGAATCGATTACCCGCGACCCGGAGGCAAAAACGGTTCTACCTACTGTCGGTTTTTAAAACATAGCACGGATGTAGTGTTTCGTGAGTACGTGTTGATAGAGTTTTCGTGGGCAGTTGAGGTCGCCATTGCCAGTAGTACAAACTACCGTCCAACGGGGTAACAACCAACGAATTTATCGAACCTTATTGTGAGGGACTCCCGACCGAGGTTAATGACTTCACCGTCACGGAAGGCCCAAACAAGATGGTACTTGCCTCAACTGTAAAACTATCATAACGCAGAAACAATTCAACCAGCAGAAGCCTCGCTACCAACACCACAAAATCCTTTCCGGGGCACTGTTTATTCCCCTCCGTCGGATTCTCCGTCTCCCGTCCGTTAGACCAGAACACATACTTCAACAGCTTCTCTCCCTCTCCAACGAACCTGCATGCAATGTACTCCTCTGCTTTGTCGAATATCTTCGGATCTTTGGTGGCGAACGGCTGAAACCCAAATATCATCTCGCCTTTCTTCACTTCATAAGC